TATATCATTCTCGTTCTTACTATTATTTTTTTGTCGAAGGATTTTTCTTTAGAGAGAGAGAGATGATTGAGAGAGAAGGATCGTATATTAATATTATTATTATTATAATTTTCCTTTCGTATATAAGTTCGTTTTATTAATTTTTTTGTTATCTTTAGCGTTGTTTGTTTTTTAACATTTTCCTTATTTTATTTTATTTTTTTTTTTTTAATTTCTTATAACATCGTCTGACGATTTCCAATTCATTTTCCTACACCCACGACTATCTCACATTTGTTAGATCGTTATTTTCGTTCGTTTATCGTTCAAATTGAAATAATTATGTTTTATTTCGTTGCAACGAAAAAATGCATTTATTCAAAAATCTAGTTTGCATATGCATCCGCATTTTTTCTTCATTCTTTTTAGTAGCGAGCAACTCTCATATTCTTGTAACACGCGTATGGTTGATGCGTTTATAGAAAAAGATAGAAGATGAGTATGTGTGAGAGAAAGAAAGAGAGAAAGAAAGAGAGAGGGAGGGAGAAAGAGGGGGAGTTGCATTACATTGCCGTCGACGAGGAACTTAGGAGTCAAGTTCTAGTGCATGGCCGAAACGGGTGAGTCGTCTTCTCCCTCCATTTCTCACTCTTTCTTTCTTTCTATCCCCCACTCATTCTCTCTCTCTCTCTTTTAACTCTATCGTGTGAGCACATTCAAGTTGTGTGGTAGGATAGAAAGAGAAATAACAGGAAGAGAGGGAAAAAGAAAAAGAGGGAAGGGAATGGAAAGAAGCTTGATCGTATTTCCAATGAATCAGTTTCGTGTATTAATAAACATTACTTTTGATTATACACTCATACGATACAAATTTCGTAATAAAAAAATAATAATAATTATTATTATACAAAAAACAAAAAGAAATTAATTTCTTGTATTATTTTGTTATCATTTATAGAATAAATATGTACGTATATCGGGAAAAGGGAAAGAAAATAATGTTTGTAATTTCAAAAAATGGGTCTGATGTGAAGAATATATGTTGAAAATGTTTACGTTCATATAATACGATCTGGATGCATTCTTGTATTTTGTTATTTTTTAACTTAAACGATTTAAAAGTCGGCATTTCAAAGTAAAATCGAAAGCATGTGTGTGTATATGTACGGTGTAACGACCTTAGAGTTTACGTTAGACGTAAACAAAACAGAAACTCCTCGTGCTTTCGACCCCGAGTTTCTCATCATCGTTTGCACAATCCCCTTTCAGTATTCCTCTATCTTTGATCGTGTCAACATCATCTCGTAGATCATCTCTTTTTCTATTTTAGTTTGTAATATCTTGCTTGTCAAAGAAATTAATTAATTCTTTCATACAATTTTCTATAATGCTTGTTCAATCAAAGACAGTAAAGATGAGAAGAGTATATTGATTTGAATAAAAAAGTTTTTATAATATACAGATTTACAAATGTTGTAAAAAAATGTTCTAATTTTAGGTTCAGGTTGATTTTAGGACATACGTTAAGATATTTTGAAGTCATCTCGGTGAGTACTCTTATAAAATCCTTAAATTATCGAAACCTTTTACCTTATTATCCTGTATAATTAAACCGATTTAATCTCAAGTATTTCATTTACAGAGTATGTATATATAATATATAATTGAACTTTAAGCTCCAGAGATATATTTGAACAAGTAATTATATATAAAAAATCATCAAAACGTTATAAATAAAATTAATAAAAAAATATTGTTGTTTGATAATGTATAAATATTTGCAAAATTTGTTTTAAATGATCTCCTTATGCTGTAACTTTCAACGTAACGAGATTGGAATATCGATAATACTTGCGATGTAACATAAGATTTAATATTCTAAAGAATTCAAGTAGTATCGAGATAATTGAATACTTTTTTTATAATCTTTTTTTTATATTCCCTTTTTGTATTATATCAACTTTTTATATGAAGTATATGTAATCTATATAAATGAATTCTCTCTTTATTATGATTTAACGTAATTAAACTTTATATAATAGGATTCTTTTTTATCTTGACGAGTTTATTTTAATCAAGACTTGTAAAAAACAACGATCCAGACACAATAACAATAATTATCGATACAAAGATAAAACATAACACATTATTTCATTGAAGAATAAATATATATATATATATATATATATAGATCATTTTAATTGTTCTCTTGGTATAAATAAAATCAGTATATTTCAAATCAATTCGGCATATCATTTTATTAAACGTGTATTAACATATGTACTGTATGAAATATTAATAATATTACGATTGTTCATAGATAAAAATAAAAGGAAACGAATATATGTATATAAAACGTTGCAGGACTTTTAAAAATATATATTTTTTCTTTTCATTTTTTTTTTTTTTGTTCAATTTTAAAATCACGAGATTCTTCGTTCCACTGCATATGTACATATGCGTGTATAAATTTAGAAAAGATTTCTCACAAGTATACTACCACGAGTATTTCTTTCCTTGTCTGCGCGTGGATTGGTTATAAGTAGTTAATCTTCAAGGTCAGATACCTACATATTCGTCGGTCCTATGTAACTCCATTTCTACTTACCAAGTTATGTTTTTAGTCTCAATTATATCTTTTGCCGTTTCTCATAAATAATGTACACCTATTTTGAGTAAAATTAAATTAAAACCAAAAAAAAAACGGAACAAAAGTCAAATTAAATCAAAAGAAAATCGTAAGTTGTCAGTGGTCAAGATCAGACACTGACACTCGTGTAATTCGTAATAAACGATGTGATGCGTCTGCCCATATAATTATTATACTACTTACTGTGAGATACAATTTTTGTTTTAACTTTAACTTTTAGAATAAAAATGAAAAGGAAGAAAATTAAAAGTCTCAAAGAATGTGGAAATATTAAAGGAAGAAATTTATTTTTGAATTTTTTCGTTTTTTTTTTTGCTTTTTATTGCGGTCTTTCGAAATAGAACAAAAATGAAGGAAGAAGCAGAAGAAGAAGAAGAAAAGGTCTAAAAGAAGGAAATGAGGGGAGAAATAGAAGGCAAAAAAAAAAAAAAAGATTTTGGCTGCAGCTGTTTCGTCTGGTCGTAGTTTGCACAATGCAAAATTCGGGTTTCTAATTCTAAAGAGAGCACCAATCAGACGGTCTATTGTTCACGCGTGAACACTCGAAAAATCTTTCTCATTCTTATAGTTCTTAATCGCTCGTTTGAATTCTAATAAGCGAGGAAACTACGTACCAATTGTTCAAAGTACACATACAAGTAAAATACATACACCAGTGTAGTTAGTTAGTTGATGAAAAAAAAAAGGACAAACCGTTGGATTATTATTATTATTATTTGTATTTTTCTAAAGTCGAGTAGTATTAAAAGAAAAAGAAAATCAAATGTCAAACATGTATGACAAATTTGTTTCGTAATAATCTAATATAATAAACAAATTATTATAGAATAACAATTAATTTTATAAAATATTAATTTTGTAATCTTTTCGCATTAGTATCGTGAATAAAATTTATTTGCATATATATATATATATATATATATTATATAATTAAATATAAAAAAATAATCAAATATATATATGTGCGGTATGTTGTAATAAAAATAATTATTAAAAGTCATGCTTAATCATATAATAATAACAATAATAATAATTTATAATTTCTTTACTTTTATAATTACTTAAGAAAAATTCTTTACGTCATTCATAGAAAAATAAAAATCTAAAAGAATCTCAGATAGAAAGAGAGAAGAAAAATTGCAATCAGATTATTTTTAAACGTAATAATAATAATTAATAAAAAGGAATGGAGATGATAGAGATATATAATTTTTTCTTTTCCTCCCCCCCCCTCTCTCTCTCTCTTTGAAAGTCAGTCGCACGTTTATGCGATGTGTCATTAAATGCAAACCATATGAGTTATGGAAGCATCAGAAAGGCTAGAAAGATATCGAGATGGCGGTTGGTTGATCGGTTGATCGGTCGTATGCATGATCAAGCATGTTAACGTGAGTTAGCTAGCTAGCTAGCAAGCGCATGCACGCATCGTGTTATAAATAATGCTCGTTTATAAGGAACGAGACGAGAGAAGGATGATCAATCGGTTTCCCGAGTGGGGATGACGAGAAAAGGCGAGTAAAACAGTCAAGGTCGACGCATAATTTCGTCGCATTGCGACGTAGCCCGACGTTATACTCTTCCTCTCTCCTCTTTTTTTTAACTTATCTTTCTCATATTTATTTTTTTCTTCTTTTTTGTCTCAACCAAACGAATATATACGTGACATTTTTGTAAACTTCATTTTTTTTTTTTTTTTTTTTTTTTTTTATAAATTTTATTTTAACCTTTTACAAAACTCGAATGTAAGAAAAGAGAAAATTTTTTATATTCGTCGTTGAAGAGATATAAATTTATTTTTATTTTTGTTTTGTTTTGCTTTTTTCTTGAAAAGACCGTTTTCAAAAATTCTCGAGTATTGATAAAAAGGAACAAAATTTGTATAGAGTCATTTTCATATATATATAAACACCTACCCTAGTAGCTCAAAATATTGAATACATGTGTATTTAATATTAAATACTATATATTATTATTTACATATATATATATAATATTAAAT